AACAAAAAGTCAATAATAACACATTTTCGTGTCTTAGATGGATGCAAACGTTGCACAGTTGCAACTGTAAATAAATATTTGGTTAACACAGTTTACATTTTAGAGCATTTTTGTTATGTATTCCCACGAATATGGGCTAAAATTTGTTCCAGAACACTAATAATAAACGTTAACGTACACATTTGCCTCCAACCCAATTTTATTTATGAATAAATTAAAATGGCGTCCAATTACGATATGACATTAATTTTATTTTAAAATTAATTAGTAAATAAAACTATTATTAAATGATTACGATTTCATAATAATGTGCAAGTATGGAGACATTATAACATAAAACAGACATAATTTTCTATTTGGGCTAAATAATAACATAACAATTTTTTATCGTATCAAGTTTAACTTACGAATTTACAAAGCATTGGTATTGCCATACTGGCACTTGATCTATTTTGACTCAACGCTGACATCTTTGAGAAAACTTCGTTGAGTATTTGAAAGTTTGTTTACCAAAATTTGAAAGAAAATTTACGTTATACAGGATAATAAAAAAACAATTCAGATTTATTACATTTTTATTGCGTATTTCTTATAAACTTTTTTTAGAATTTAATACAATTATATACTGAATATAATATTACATATTAAAACACATTTAAATTATATTTATAATAAACAAAATTCTATTAAAATATTATATCTACTCACTGGGATTATAATACAAATGTTAGTACATTTGTTAGCATTTGAGAAAATCATGATATTCTGACTATTTCCTATAGCTAACCAATGTGAAATAAATAGATAGAAATCACATTTATAACATATCACTAAGAGTTTTTAATAGTGATTTAAAGATTCATTTTTATGTCAGAAAGATTCTATATAATTAATAAAAATATATATAACGTTTGAACAATTGCATTTTTGATGTATTTTTTGTCACTCTAATCTATAAATTAAAATTTAAAATAAAATATTCTCGTAATGCAATTTATAAAGTACAATGACATATACCTAAGGCCAGAAGTCATTGTTTGCTTTTTGTACATACACAAATGTTGACAGAATGTTAAAACACTAGCTATGTCCGTTATGTGATAAAGGTGCCAATCCTTTCTTTTGTATAGCCACTGATACAGCAGCTTCTAAGAAATCATAATGTTCACCAATTGCTTGAGGTGCTTCTGACACGCGCCTCAGTTCTCTCCCTGAGCTACCCGGTTGTTGCCAATCATGTGTACCACCAGCCTGTGATGTTTGATCAACCGGTCCAGCTCCATTTTGTAAACCATGAGCACTTATCGCCATCAAAATAGCAGCATCTTCAACAACCAGTGAACCAGTGTGTCCAGGCATAGGTGCTTCTGTGAAGGAATCTAAAACACGATTAATTGTATTGTCCACAAATCCTTTGGCAACTTGTCTCGCTTGCCATCTTGCTAGTCCCCTGTCATCTGCTCGATCTGCTAAACAGGCACTGGCTCGTAAAGATGGCACTGAATCATTGGAATTGTGGTTGTCAACATAACAAGGTGTGGATAATGTAGGTTCTGAGTATCTTTTACCAGACGAAGTTCTGTTTGAAATATTAGAAGAACATCCTACTGATAAGTCTCTGCCAGAATTTAATGAAAAACATTCGTTTATAGAAGGGTTGCTGTTGCTACTGCCACATGAAGATTCTTCAATTTGCGATCGAGATCTTCCTTTGACTTGCCACGAAAATCGAGCTTTTTTCAATGGTATAACATGACCTAATTTATTAACAGTATTCGATAAATTATCAGATTCTTCGTTCTCCATGTCAACGTAGAGCTTCACTAATTTAAAGGTTTAATACATCTTGCAATTGATATATAATTGGACAATTTATGTAGAGGACTGGTAAACAAGAATTAAATTCGACACTATCTCAATAGTATATTTTGCCACTCGTTACTTAATGTTCCTTTGCATTTATTATTATGTATAACTTCATGTTTTCCACGCAATCTAATGTAACTACTATTGAATTGAATATTCAATAATATAACACAAATACAATAGTTCACTTTACGCCCACTTGCCACTATTGTATTCTGCCATATTGATTTTGTGCATATACATAACCTGTGCACTACTTGTCAACAGATGACAGATTCGAATAGTGTGTCCAGGCTATAAATAATGGAGTGATTCTATGGAGCTTTAGCACGGTTTGAATCTCCGGAACTGGGCTTAGGGTGAATACCACAGATAAAAGTCGAGTGACGTCGGGATAAAACCGGTACTTTAATCAGGATAACCATGGATGCCATAGATAAAGAGGATTAGGATAACAGTTGAAGAAATCGAAGAAACCAAATGATCTGGTGCGGCTTATCTTCACTAAATAGTAAAGTATATAGTAAATAGATTGATTACTGATAAATTAAATTTCTAAAATCAATTCAATTTTTTTCAAAATCTTAGCAAAACTGCTAAATAGTGGGCTGCATGGCATCGTGCCTTAAGGGAAATTGCTGCTACTTTCCGTACCGTTATTAAAAATCTTGGTACAGAATCCGAAAAAAATTACACAAAATGTGTACACTTTATTAAAATCTCCATAAAATATCTGATAATTTGATGTACATATGTCCAATAACTTAATTTTATTGGGAGTCCATAACCGTTGGACCTGCTTTTCCAAAAATTTAATCAGTTCTTCTTTTTGCCAATACAAGTAAAATGTTTTTTGAATTATTAAAATCGGACGCTCCGTTCTCTTAAAAACTGAGTTACCTTTTTTGGCACTTTTTGCCCCGTATCTTCAGAACGGCTAGACTGGCCTTCGCAAAAAACTAATCAGCACGTCTCCTTATCAATACGAAAATAATGCTTTTTGAATTATTCAAATCGGTTGATCGGTGTTCCCGAAATCGTCGACGAAAATTTGAATCCGCACACACTCATACGAACACATACGAGTACACACACATACATCCAAAATGTATGCCAAAATGATCAGAAACCTTTGAAACGTAAATATATATAAAAATTTTCGCGGGATTTTAAAAATGTTAAAAATGTATAATACAAAGAAACAGTTTAACTAATCGTCAATTTGAATGATGCCAATTGTCAATTTTATTATCTTCTTCGAGAATTGTATTTGCTAAATTTATGTTTTCTCGGTGTTTCAACCCATTCTTAAGTTTAACATCAAAATTGGAGATGTTTGTTTGCTCAACGTTTGTTTTCTCAAAGTTTTCGTGAAAATTCTGAATCAATTTTGAAAATTTAGAAACTGTGCAAAAGATACCAGTTGAGAACTATGTTGATTTTAATGTGCACAATTGTGAATTGAAAATCGAATTGAATAGTTTATAATGAAAAGCGCAATCTTTATTTTTAATGCAAATAGTTTTAAATTTTATCGTCAATTTTAAAATTGAAGAGAAAATTGCCACTTGATTTAAGTCATCAATTTTCCTGATAATGATTGAAATAAACATAGTTGTTATTTATAGGAAAATAATTAAGTTTATATTATTATTATTAAAATATTGTTAATATTATTCATAACAAATAGGAAAATTGAATTGTTTTTCCAACATATCGCTGTAGTATGCAATGTCCCTTTACGCAAATTTACTAAATGTCCTAACAGTTCTAAATATAATAGTGAATAAAAAATAACTAAAACTCAATTCTTTTCGTTTAAATCTACTATATTCACACATTTCCCTTAAGATCAAATGCCACTTACACCTAACATTTACCTATCTTAATTATGTAGCTTTTGTTCATTGTAATGAATTTCTGAACTCCCATATAAATATTAGACAACTAATGAAATATCTATCCTCTTTCCACTCTCACATACATAAAGTGTATTTGCATATATATTTCTGATATTTATTCAATAATCGCTCTAAGCTCTTATATTCTTTGGTAATAACGAAATAAATAAATATATTGTTTGAAAAAATTGCTTCTATTTGATTTTTTGACAAATTTTCAATATTTTTAACAGCTTTTGGGCTATATGGACCTGAGACAAACTGAACAAATAAAAATATGAAAAACGATCTAGTAGTTTAAATGAAATAAATATTTGCTCATACACACACACACACACATAGATAAGGAATGCACATAAACACACACACACACACACACACACATATATATATATATATATATATATATACTTATAGATAACGCATACTTATCTATATTCATATCAATTAATTTAAAGCAAGTGAAAGCGTTTTAAATTAGGTATTGAAAAGGGGAAAGTTAATACGCATGTATTCAAAATAATTTCAAACTGTTTTTTAAATATTCCGGACTTCAATTTAAACATGTAATACAAATTTGATTTGTTATACAATAATTTAATTTAACCATATCAATAAAAAGTCCCCAAAAGTTTTAGTCGTTAAGCATTAAACAGGATGCTGCATAATGGACATTCATATAAGTTCAATGTAATATTTAGCAAATAAGTTATAACATAGTTTGCGTAATAGACGAATACTTTTTGTATGCAGAGTCGAGAAATCTTTTGGAATTTCTGCCAGGTATGATGAGAGCAACGTTATCATTTGAATATTTTGAGGCAACTTTCTCCCAGACGCTACCTGCGTCAAACTCTTGCAATAAAATAAAATAATTGCAATTAGCAGGTAGTGGGATCCATATCTCGAAATGGAAGCAATATAATAGTAAGTACAAGGTGTCTCGCACACCTGTCTCCCTTGAAGCGATGAAATTTATCCCAATTGAATTAATAAACAACATTGGAAGCAACTTTTTGAATTTATTATATTCATCGCCTTATAATTTTATATCTCTCTCATAAGCAAAAACCGTGCTATTTCTATGTTTTCAGTTTTTAATGCTTTTTTGTATGAAACAAACATGTACTGTACACAAATTTTAAAAATTCTACAATCACACATTTAACAAATAGCTCTAATTCTCGAAAATTTGGGCAGAATCGGTCCTATAATCATATGTGTTAAATGTACTTCCTATAACTTATTTTGGACTCATTGAACATGATATTAGGAGTCATACGAACCTAGATTAATTTAGTCTTTATTGCATTATTTATCTTATTTTATAACATTAATTAAGAAATGGCTTTATGAGAATGCACTACTTTTTCAGCACGCAAAAAGTATTTTTTCTGTCACAATAACAATAAGATTATATAGCAAGCAACGTTATTATTATTATACTTGAAATTGATAATTCCATGTGTAAATTCTTAAGCAAGATATCATTATTTATCTATTTAATTTATTATAAACATTTCATGCGATATTCATACACGGACCATCAATCATTGGATTGGTATTCGATTTAGACATTTCTTTAAATGATACCAAAAATTTGTTGATGGAATAGGCGCAGATATCAAAAGTAAAAAGTCGTGCAATATTTTTGTAGAAAAGCTTTCCTTTCCTCTTATTCATCAGTAAAAATCTTATACAAAAATTGCAATTTTGAATTAATTGAAATAATAAGTTGTGCTAAAATTCTGGTCTAAAAATAATATTCATAAAATAATTGTTTTGATGCTCTAGGAAGACGAAGGCAGCGTTTGAATAAATTATATGTGGTGCATGACAAAAATGCACTTAATTCTTTTCAATAAAAATATAACACTTGATATATTATATTTTACTTACTCGACTCCTTTTTGATATTCTTTAGTAATCCTATAATATGTACAATTACTCGTCGACTTTATTTAAGATTTTTCACATCAGGACTATAAGCTAAACATATCCAACCTGGAATCGGATCACCACTGGGTGATCATTCGACCTTTTTTCCTTATTTAATAAACCATTAAAATTACTGAATGTTGTTTATAACGACAGATTGTAATTCATAAATGTGAATAAAAAAAAAATTACTTATTATATAAATATTTTTTGTAACCAATGTTCTCAAGAATTGGTATCATAGTTTTGGTCATCTTTCCCAAAATCGTTTTCATAAACTTTTGCTTCAATTTGGTGTTTGATGTTTTGCTTCAGAAATATAGATTTATACCGATAAAAGATTTCAAAAATTATATGAAAAGCTTTAAAAATGGTCTTTCGGATATAAGGCAGTATCATATGAATGAAAATTAACAAAATTATCAGGCAAAATTCTGAAAATAATGAACAGTTTAAAAACTACTGCATGGTTTCGTATTTTTACACCACACGTAGTCTTAGATTTAATTCCAACCTCCGCCAGCTCGATATCAAGCAGTATAATATCAAATTTACACTTTAAGTTATAGATGTCGAATTGATCTCAAGTGAAAATAACTAGAATTACATAATATATAGTCTACACAAAGAGAAGAGTGGTTGACCGCTGGGTTGCCATCTCGACAAAAATACTAGGGTAAGATGTACGATAGTAAACAAAGCTCATAGAACATGCAGTTCCGATTTGTTGCTTCGTTCTTGAAAAAATAAAAAAAAATCAATCAATCCAAGTAATTGCTACCTATAAATACAACAAATCTTTGATCTTATTTAAGTAAGTAAGTTCAACCCTTGTGAGTAAGACTGCAGTTCCGGCAAGAAAAGAGTCTACCAAATGTTTGCACTACTCTGATCTTACTAAATTGTTTATACTTAAATATTTACATTAACATAATTATAAATGTACAAAAGTCTTCTTCGAATTGATTCATATTATTACGTTGCAAAATGTTACCGAGTATCTGTTACCACAACATAATACGTGTTGTATATGTTCAACGTAACTTTTCTTTGTAAATTTACTCAAGAGATATTAACAGGTATTTAATATTCTCAACACAACTGTAAGAACCACGGTCAGTCATTGAACAATTCACTTTCACATTAGCTCAGCTTATTGCTTTATGATATGAGGAGACTTTTGCATTCATAGTGCGACAGTTAAGTGAAAACGTGCTCTAGCGAAGGTAGTGATTTGTGTCTCAAGAACGTTTCTACTTGTATAATTTTAAATTTAGAGATACAACTTAAATTACATAATGGCAATAAATAAGGTAAGTGAATATAATTTTATAAATTATTTTGCTATATTTGAGATCATTCTTGAAACATTTATAATTGCCATCGAAAATGAGAAAAACAATCGAAAATTAAAATAAATCTTAGCAGTTTAACTAATGTTTTTAGTCAAATTAAAATTATTCCAAAAACTATAAAGAACATGTTGAATTAAACATTATTTAATATAATAATACATATTTATATTATTGATTTCAAATATTATAGGCATAATTCTCTTACAAACTTGTGCTCTTATTTTTCCACCTGCCTAAGGTGAAAATGGAAAATGTGCAACTATGAATTTTGTAAGATTTTTTTTATACTAGATTTATAGAGAAAATTATTTTATCTTTGAATAATATCAGCGAGCTATCTTAAATTTGATGAAGAAATGAATCAAAAATTTAAAAATCTGAATAATTTAACTAGCATTCTCATAAAAGTAAAATCATCTAAAAATCTACCGGGAGTGAATTGAATTTGCATTACTTAATGAAATATTTGTAATAAATATTTTAGGCATATTTCTCGAATAAACTTGCTCTTATCGAAGTTCAAAATGGATTATTGCATACTAGGTTTTACTAGGAAACTTTTATACTAGATTTACAGAGATACTTATTACAACTTGTAGTAATAGCAGCAAGCAACCTTAGGTTTATTGAAGGAAAAATCTAAACTTTAAAAAATCTGATTAATTTAGCTAAATTAATTAAAGAAATTATTTAATAACGTAAAGAAAATAAGTGGAAAATGCTTTATTTAATAAAACTCTTGTTATAAATATTATAGGCTTAATTCTCGGATAAAATGGATCTCTTATTTTACTACTTGCCTAAGGTATAAATAAAAAATGTGTGAAAATGAATTTCGTAAGATACTCTTATAGAGATAAATATTTTCGATTATATAAACGAGCAATCTTAAGATTATAATTATTATTAAGAGTCCTATTATTTTGTTATTTGAAGTGATCAGAACTACGTATTTTATAAGCTGTTATTCTGACGTAGACATATTTTTCTTAACCCAGGGTAACCCAGTGGTCAACCATTCTTGTTTTTGTGTTAATTAATTATTAGATATGTATATCTAATAGTTTTGCCATATATATTATAAGAATTTGTTGCAAATAAATAAACAATATTTGTTAGAAATTGTACAGGAAAAAGATTAATATTACGATGTAACCAGTTAGCTTGAATTGTAAATTTAGAATCAATATTTATTATATAATATTGCCCTATAAGTAATTTCAATAAAAATCAGTTCAAAATTTATCTCCAATCAGGTGTAAGTGGAACTTTGTTATGAGACATGTTGCCCGAACTTCCTAATATATGTAAATAATCGACTTCCAACAATTGAGATGTAACAACTTTTCAAATTGTGACGATAACATTTTCAACAGCTTATTTCGAAAATTATTCCAATTTTTAATTAATTTTTGTATATAAACCACTTTTCGTAAGCCTATAATTTTTTAGGATGTTAAGACCCTAGTCAATATTAGAATACCCATGGTTAAGACCATTAACTCTATCACTGTGCAAAGTTTCGTTAAAATCGTCATTAACTGTGAAAAAATGATCATCACGAATCCCAACCGATATCCTTTGAAAAGTTTTTGAATTTTCACAATCAGAATAAGATTTTTGGCAAAGCTGTTGATGAAAAATTTTGCTCTTTTAGCATTTTCTAATTATTATAAAGAAACGGATTGGCTAATTGTCGTGCAAAATTAATCAGAGCAAGTCAGTCTTTATCGAGTTTTATCGAACTTTTGAATTTTTGCAAGCAGTTCACCCGTTTTTGAACAAAGGTGGACGAAAGGTCAAAATTTTGCTTATGTACTCATACACACGTACATATTTTTTCCAAATTCGGTTTCAAACGATTCGGAACAACTTGAAGCGTAAAAAAACAGCAAATCGCGTTTTCTATCAAAGGAAATAACTTCTCCTTGCGGAACATAAACAGTGATGAACACATTATAACAAATCAATGTATTAAATTATCTTATATTTTTTCTAGATTTCAACCCTAGTCATTCTATTATTCGCTTGCCACTACGCCTCGAGTGCAACAACGACGGTGACTACCAGTACGCAGAAAACCCTCCCATCAGTTTCATCAGCCCGTGCCGCCGCCACACGTGCTCCAATTTCTGATGAGATGCTGGATCACGCGCTTAATGATAAAAGATATTTAATGAGACAATTAAAATGTGCTCTTGGCGAGGCACCTTGTGATCCCGTTGGCCGCAGGTTGAAAAGTAAGTAATTGTAATCGAAATATGAATTTATATCGAAAATAATAGTAATAGGAAAAACATCCCAAATGATAGTGTAGATTTAAGTAAGCAAAGGCTCCATGTAGTTAGCTAATTACTAAAACACAAGGAGATATTTTATTGGCAATAGTCCACCTTATATTATGAGAAATATTAATTTCAATTCTTAAAAATAAATCCTAGAATAGACTATTCTTAGTCTGTGTCACATTTATATATACTATTTTAGTAGTAGATACTAATATCTAATAATATAATATAAAGTGCTACAAAATTGCAGTAATAAACCGCTAATTGCTCATAGTTTTATTTTGAAAATACAGTAGAATCAGTTTAGTATGACATCGAAGGGATACCAAAAACTCATCATAATAAGCATTCTGAAGAAACCGACTTATAAGGAATTTTATATGAAAACCAAACATTTAAGTATGATTACGTCATAATAAGTGGTTGGTCCATATATTCAGCGTTATATTGAGTGGAATCTACTATATTATTCTGAGATCTTTTCTAAAATACAATTTCGTGCCATAAATATACAAAATAATAGTAAACGACATAAAATAATATTCTTAGGCTAATTTTAACTACGAAATTTATCCTTTTGGTTTTTTTATTTTACAGCCGTTGATTTAGGATTTATTACTCATGAATTATATTTGCATATTCTATCTTTATTATTTAGTTGAATTCAAATAAGGTGCTATAAAACATTTTTAACGATGTGTAATCCGAATTCAAAGAAATATGCAGTATATTATACATGCTCAACAATATTATTATAATAATGGTATACCATTTTATGATTTTTTTTTAATAGCAAATTTAACTTTTTAAATATTTTTTACAAATTCTAATTACTAATTACATTTATAATTTAGGATTTTTTATTTTCGAGGCATTAATTTGGGTTTTATAACTAATATTATATTTCAATTTTTCATCTTTTACGATTTTGAATATAGCGTTCTAAAACATGTTTAAAAATGTGTAATTAATTAAAATAAATATTTAAGGGCTATATGCTCAATAATATTATAAAATTTTCATTTTTTTAATTGAATGATTACATGCATTGAATATACAAAAAATAATACCAAACAAAAATCCCTCAAAATTTAATTAAAAAATTTGTCTTTTGGAAATTTTGATTATAAATTTTTCAATTCATCTTCGTTATTTTAATAATATTATTAAATTAAATATTTATTATTTTAAATTTTTATTTATAGCTTGAAACCAAAAATTTTAAAAATTCAAATTAAATATAATAATTACCGGTTACTCTTTATTATCATTCAATTCAAAAAAGACTAAAAAGAACACAACCGTTACGGTATTACTATCAATTTTAATAAATCTAATAAGCTTTTATTACCATGTATAGCATTTTTGATCAAATTGAATTTTATTTTTGGATGCTCGAACAATTATTTTAATATTATTTGATTAATATTATGCAATATTTAAAATAATTTTAACGTCTTCACTATGTAGTTTCAACTATTTAAATTTTTCCAAACTAGCTTTTATGAAGTTATATGTCAGTAAATAATGTCAACTATGATCTTCACTCAATATGATTTTGATTAAGTTTTATTAAACTCCTGACCTATAGGATAATAAGTTATACATGCTGCTCAAGTGCTCATGTATGTATATGTATATATATATATATATATATATATATATATATATATATATATATATATATATATAGATTATTTTATGAATATAAATATATACAATTATATATATACGCATTTTAATAATACTATTACGATAATCATAATTAAATATGTAATTATTTTGTCGACATTGAACATCAATGATGTGCGCGATATGCTGATACGTGTAATATAAAAATCTTAAAGATTATTTAATTGTTAATTAATTAATGTTTATATAGATTGTTATTGATATTTATGTAAATCTTTTTAATTGCAAATTAATCACTATTAGAAAAAAATCGAGTTTTATGAAACGCATCCTAATTTCAGTAATTTAGTTTTCATTACACACACACACACCCGTATATATAAATATATATAATTTATTCATTTCACACACGCACCCATATATATTATTCTAATTAGTAAATATTTATTTAATAATGTGAATTTATCAAATTGCAGGTTTAGCTCCATTAGTATTAAGAGGTGCTTGCCCACAGTGCACAGCCCAAGAAACCAAACAAATTCGTAAAACATTATCCCACATTCAAAGAAATTTCCCCGCAGAATGGAACAAGCTGATTCAAACATACCAAGGTTAATAATTATATAAAACTTCAATCTAATCATTATGAACATTAATTAGGTTTAAGTAATAAATGCCTAATTGTAAGTATTATAATATTTATTAAAAAAATTAAGTATCCTATTATTGGATAAAATTGAGATACTTTTTTTAAGCATTTTGTATGCTTATGGAATTGTGAAATTTGTATAATGCATATTCCGATCTATTTTTGAATAAAGTTTGTACTTATTGTTAAGAAATAAAAACGTGTTGTTATAAAGAACTTCTTGTGAATGTTTATACATCCATTTTAATTTTTACATAGAAGTATTTAAAGATGTAGAAATCAGAAGAACTTTATAGAAATGAAAATCACTGTATGCAGTGAGTAGATAAATTAGTTATTTACGAGAATAAAGTTAAGGAATGAAATCATCAAAATATGTCAACTAAATTATCTAAGAGCTTGTAAGCAAAACGTGACCTTCTAGATTTCCAATAAATTTTCTTATATATACTTAATTAATTCTTAATTTTGAATTGAGTTCATTTAAATTGTCATACAGTTAATCAACATACTCATTACCTTAAACGAGTTTAAACTTTTGACTTGATTATAAGTTAAAATATTAATCTGTTAGAACATTTACACAAAATAGATATTTTTCAATACAATGGCAATTGGATATAACGCAATTTAGAATGATAATTCGAAATAAAAAGAATTATGTCGCATTGAAAAATTTATTTTGTATATAAATATAACAAGTCAATTTTTTATGTAAAATTTTAAATCTATTCAAAAACAAATATTATCAATGTTGCCATCTGCAAATAACAAAATAAAAATTTAGACAGAGATAATTAAAGAATTAAAGAATTATCAATAAAACTTACAATCTTAATACTTTATCCTTCCCTCCTGAAGCTACTTTTAATCCATCAGTAGACCAATCAACAGCATAGATATCATCAGCATGACCGGGTAGGTCCATTTCCAACTTCTTGTTAGCAACACTCCAGACTGAAAAATAATACATAATATAGTAATGCATCAGATAAATTGTATATTGTATATTAACAAAAAGAAATATATTAACCTTTCAAAGTTGAATCAGCACTACCACTAACAAGCAAACGAGAATCTGCTGCCCATGCTATAGAATAAACGGCTTGAACATGTCCACGTAATGTTGCAATAAATTTTCCATCAATAGCACTCCATAATCTAACAGATTTATCAAAAGAAGCAGATGCAATTAATCTGCAACAAAATAAAAATATCGAACAATGCACATTAATATTCCTGCATATTAGTGTTATAAAAATTTAAAGATTGGATATTCTATTTACCGTACATCAGGGGAAAATTTAACATCATTCACTACATTTTGATGACCAGTCAACCTAGCAATACATTTATTTTTATTTGTGGTCCATAAATATAATGTAAAATCATCTGAACATGATACAAGTGTTTCATAGTCACTGCAAACAGCATTATAACGTTCTTGAGCTAATTGTTTCATCACATTCTCTACAACAAAACTGTAATTGACTAATTGATTCTAATGATTTAGTATACATTTAGTATAATTCTTACTATCAGTAATTTTAACATTTTTATCCATGACGGGATGAAAAGGTCCTGTCCTTAGAACATAGTCTGTATTCAATGCTAAACTATTGACCCAATGAGCATGTCCTTTAAGTGTTCTGCATAATATTCCCTAAATAGATAACTTTATTAATTTTATCCTAAATAACATATTTGTCATGATAAGTAAAACTTACATCTTTTGCTCTCCATATTTTGATTTCTCTATCATGACTTCCAGTATATAAAAGACCCAAGCCGCCCCATTTAACAGTAGTAACTGCCTGCGTATGACCAGATAGGGTTAAAATATGCTGACATAAAACGGTATCCCATATTTTAACATCTGTATCTTTACTAGAACTAGCAAGAAGTCTACAATCTGGATTACTAAAAATATAACAAGTCTGCATTAGAAATCATATGCATGGAATAAATATGGTATGTAAAAGATTTGTTATTTTCACAAAACTCATTATTTTTTATAAATTATTCAATACGCATAAAGTTGATAGTTATTTTAACCACCTGTGATAAGGTTCCCAACTTAAAGAAGTGATATATTGTTTATGTCCTATGAGTGTTTTACCAATCTGTTGTCCAGTTTCTGGATTCCAAAGTTTTATTTCACCAGCTTTACAACCTGATGCCAGTTTTGTACCGCAAGGTGACCAAGATACACATAAAACCCATTGCCTGTGTCCTTTGCAGACATGAATCGGAGTTTGTGTTAGAATATCCCACAATCTTACTGTTGTATCACCTGAACCACTCGCTAATTTATCACCTTGTGGTCCAAAACTTAATGATATTACAGCCTCGGCATGACCAGGTAAAGAACTAAAATAAAAGATTTGTTCAGGAAAATAGTTAAATGTAGCTATATGATATTTTGCATTGATTAAATTAGGTATTATACAATAAATCCTGCAACAAAATAATAAACCAATATTTAAAATTACCAGAGATTTTTTCATTATATTAATTTTAAATAAATAAAAAAGTAAAAACATTCAGAGCAATATGCATTTGATTTGTGTAATTATTTTTCAAACCAAACTTTTAATATGATTCTTTTAGTAAATATTATATCTACACTGCGAGATACAGCTGCAGAAATTTGAACCAACTATAAAACTTATATAATAATTATTTTACCTGGTGCATCTACTAACAGGTCGAACTTTAAATACAGCTTGTTCTTGATATACAATATCTAAGACACCTTCTGTGTCAAATGTATTTAAATCAATACTATTCGATAACTTCTTATTTATTTCAACTTCATTTACAAAGAATAGATATGGAACTGGCTTTTCCTAAAAACATATAAATAATTACACATTTCAAAATAACCGATGATACAAGATAGTAGAGATTTTACATTTTGAAGGAGTGCATTGCAAACTAGTCCTAATTGTTCAACAGTAACATCAAATGGTAAATTAAAGGGTGTTCCAATATCTTCACCAGAATCAGATTTGAAACGGGCAGTTATGGTTGTTGGAGGTTCTGGTGGTGATATTTCCATTTTAATTTTGTTGAAGATATATAATACGATGCAAATTACTTTGTTATTTTAATTAACAACTACAAACATCAATATATTTAATGTACAACTTTATACACGTGTTTTTAAATTTGCTGCCAGTACATAACCTCAATTAACAAATGTCAAACTCTGTTACCAACTTCACGTGGTATATGAGAAAAAGCGGTTGATTCAAATTATGAAAGCATAAATTACAATTATAATTAAATATTTAAATATATATTGAATTTTGAGGTTTTTGACTTAAGTTTAGTACGCAGTTTTTTTAATTATATATATATTTATATATATAATCTATATATAATTAATTTGATGTTGACTTAAGTATTTACAGATTCTAATAGTTTTCTGGTTAATCGTGCTTTCTTGTTCTAATTTTTTAAAAAAAATGTTTTTTTCTATTTATACTTCAAACATTGTACTTATTGTTAGTGATAACACAAAAATTACAAATAAAATAAGAAATATTTAAGTGGAAACAGAAGATATTACTCCTTATCTTAGGAAGGGAAAAAAAATTGTACAATATAAAATTTTTAAAAAAATTTATTTATCATATTATCATTATATATATTATTTATCAATATATCATTTATTTATATAACTGCAGTTGACTCTAGTTTTTCTAAAGCATTTGCCTATAAAGAAAACTTGGTCTTAAGTATATACAGTTTACTGGTTAAATCTATAATATATAGATTATTATATATAGATTCAAATAAAATTAAATTTTTAGTTTAATTTCGGCTGCCTTTAAAAAAAGGCAGCCAAAATTACTGACAGAAAATAGCTACACACAACTTATTTGAATTAAAATCAAGTTGCTGATAATCTAGATAATTTAAACTTTCACTGCTAATTTTCAAATCATAAGAAAAGTAAGGTTGTATAATTAAAGAATAGGCTTAAGTTAATATAAATATAAAATCTATATTTTGTCAATATTTATAATAAATAAACTTAAGACAATTTTTCATTCTTAAATATCTGTGTAATGAGACAGCTCCATAAATGCAAGAGGACATTGATTGTGACTTTCCATACATTCATCATAGGATAAAAGTTCTTTAGTGTTACTGGAACTTGACCTTTAAAAAACATCAATTGAAGTTATTTTTTATATAGTTTTATGCAATAGTATAATATATATTTAGTATTTTTAAATAACTTACTTGAAAATTAATTTGAATGTTTTTGAGAGAACGTTGTTGTCTGCTGTACTTTCATGAGATGCATCGCAAATGAATTTTTGTATGCAGGACTTTCCATTGTAACCGTGGCTAAATTATTAAATTAATATAATTATGTTATTTATATAATAATTAAAATAAGTAATAATTAGTTATTAATAAATTGTACTTATTATTTAAATCAAAACTTGCTGTGCTTATTCTAACAATTAATTCATAAGGCTATGAGCAATGCGAAACACGAATAAAGTCAATATATTATGTATTAAGTTCTTATGAATATAAATCTCTATTATTCCAAAATTTCATTCAAAATATGTATTAAAATTATTAATTACTTCTCTATAGCTTCTTGAACACTATTGTGAATATCTCTCCTGGTTATCAAGGGAAGACGACTGCGTTCTGGCATATCCCAATTCACACGAAAACCATATCCATATGAAAACACCGTTCCAATTTCAGGTAAAACATTGTCTTTTATGTTAAGCCTATACTATAAAAAATAAAAAAAGTTTAAATACAAAAACACACATAGCATATGTAATAACATTAATAACACATATATATGTAATAACGTTTCAAAGGTAAAAGATAGACATTCTTAGCTATGGAATATTTTTCTTTGTCTCTGATACTGCTCTTTTTTCTCAGAAAAGCTTTTAAACTTTTTAAAAATTTCTGAGAATCAATGGATATTTAAAAATAATGGATATTTAGGCCCTCATCTTTTGAAGATACACTAAACGAAGACTTAATATCAAGTTTCATAAAATCAAAACACAAAATTATTTAAGCATTCCTTCATTGTATTTTGTATATTGGATATTTGTTTGTTTTTTGTTGTATAGTTATAAATATAGTTCACTTATTAAAAAGAGAAACTAAGTTGAGTTAAGTTTTTTTAATAAGACCATAAGTAATATTCATATATTTTGAGTCCTAATTTGACTCTTTTTATAATCGACAAAGAAAGAAATACTTATAATTGAGTTAATTTAGCTTAGTTATATGAATATATTTAGGGTAAATTTTAATTAAAGCTCAATTTTTAATATATTTTACATAAACTACTTATTGATGTAATAGAGATAATATTAAAATATAAATATAAAAAGTAATGCATGCCATGGAGTATGTAGAATTTTTTTGGTTCAACCTTTTTATAAAAATGACAATTTTGTTTGTATTAAAAAATATATATATAATTTCGAATAAAAAAACTCTTTTTATAATAATACACTATTATATATTCTTAATTTACACTATTATTAACTTCCCGTAGGGCAAGTTATAGAAATCGCAGAAGAATCGAAAATTAATTTTTTTATAAATCTTTACGTCTCAAAGGTTTCTGAACATTTTGTCATATTATCCTTAGAAGAAATGGATGTATGTGTGTGTGTGTGCGAATACAAATTTTCGTCGACGATTTCGGAAACACGGATCAACCGATTTGAATAGTTCAAAAAACATTCGATTCGCATTGATAAGAAGACTTGCTGATTAGAGAACGAATGTGTTGATCAAACAAAGAACTGTTAAAATTTTAAAGGCAGATTCAACGGTTATGAGCTATTTGGCGGTCAAAATATCAAAATGCCATTTGGCGGTCAAAATATCAAAATTTACAAAAAAAAAAAACGATTTCTTAAAAAATTTGAGAATATTTCGAAAATTTAAAAAAACGGATGTTTTTAAATATTTCCAAATTCTCATAAAATTAAAAAAAAACGATTTTCTTCAAAAATTCCAAAATTATTTGCCTTAAGGCACGATGCATTGCACCAATAGTCAAAAATAAGAAATGTACCAAAAATGTACTTACAAAAATTTTTGAACTTTTCCGAAATGCTAAATGACGCCGCACTCTTGTTTTAGTATTTTTCGCCTCCAACTGATATTCACTAGCATTTTGATTATTGCATAAAACTATACAAAAATAATTTAGTAACAAAAAAATTAATATGTTTTTGCACATTGATATGATGTTCTATCATTTAATTTGTACTCACGTCTTTCGTTGAATAAATTACAATTAATATAAAATTCATTTAAATCGGAACGTATCTTATATACCACTTAAGGTCTAAGTGGCATATTGCTAATTATTAATATAAATATTCATATGCAAGCAAAGAAATTACAGTTAAGTGAATGAACTCGTTATTGAATGTGACATGTTGACATTCATAATAAACACATAGAAATAGAAATATTTGCAATTAAAACCCGTTCACTAAGGATTTTTTATGAATAATAAAAATTTATAATTTATAACTCTTTTATAATAATATTTTATGTATTAGACTAAATTGTAAATTTTGCAATGTAATAACAATATTTGAAAAAATGTGTTCTGACAGAAGCATTGGTGGAGTGACCTATTTTTCATCTAATTCCAAGTTTGTATGAATTTTACGCTGGAAAAGTTTGTATTTTTCATGATTTCTTGTTTTGTGACCTAGATTTCAAAGCTTTATACATCTGATATTGAGAGGAATTATCATTTCCAAAAGAACATTTCAAATTTGAACAAAATGCGATTGAATCTTTTTTTGACCCAGATCTGTTAATCACTTATTTTATCCTAAAAGAGGCTCTTAAATTCTATCTTTCATATATAATTTATAGCTATTTTATTACCTACAAATTTTTTGGTTCATTCTATTTTTTTTACTCTTTTTCAGTAAATCATTTCTACATCTTTGCAAATAATTTCTGCAGAACTGTTAAAATTAGAGTATATGTTTCTAGTCCATATAGATAATTTTCGTAAATTTTTCTTTAAATTCTGAAATAAGGATATCGTAATACAATTTGTGGATCATAACTATTTAAAATTACTGCACTTGAAAGATCAAATAACTCATAAAAATTATATATCCAACCAACCATTCAAATTGATTCAAAATTTTAATCCTTTCCACTCCGGCGGCATCTAAGTGAAAAGGGTTAGCAATTCAAATTTGCATACAAAATGCATCTCTATTTATTTGTTTGTGAACTGGAATACTGATCATAAAGTTCTATCATATCATTCACTTCGTTTTCTGTCATATAATTCAATATATGTGATTGAGTCAATACCATTAATATGGTATCAATAATTTATAAATTGTTATTATTCAAGTTTTCTAATCTTTGCCTCTCCTAATTAGAAAAAAAGCTTTTGTGATAGCAAAGAAATAAACAAAATTTAAAATCTTTGAGCAACCCTTATAAATAATATTACTTAATTATTATAAAATAATTTTTAGAACTAATAAAACAAGTTTAAAATTTTAGTTATAAATCTGTGTATTGAGATAATTCTAAGAGAGCAAGTGGACATGATAATTCTATTTTCTTGCACGAATTTTCTTCGGGCTTAAATACTTCTTCATCTGATCTGCAAAAAAATGATTGAAGTCAGTTTTTTTCATTTTGGAAAATATTTTTAATTGTTATGAAGCATACTTAAAAATCATCTTGAACATTTTTAATATGACATTGGTATCAAATTTTAATTTGTCTGCATCACATATAAACTTTTGAATACAGGATTCTCCATCAAAACCATGCCTAGAAAAAAATACATATTTCTGAATGAAATATAAATATTTGTTTAATTTATAATGATAATGAATTAAAATCATTACAAATGGAAATATCTCCACATAATTTAAAAAAATAATATAATGTATCCGAACTATTAAACATAAATAAAAATGTAGCATAACAGAAAATGGGGAAGGAGTGGCTTTCATTGACTATGGATTACAACCTTTTATATTAAATATATAGACAGTTTTTTGTTAAGTTATTAAATTTGAATTCATAAATTGATGCTAAATAAATACTATTAAGTATAGTATTGTAATATATTATTAATAAATAAAGAAATATTTATTTGAAATGCATAACGTTTCTAAAAGAGTTTCAAATAGCTAAAAATAAAAGTTAATATAAAATATTAAAAAAAAATTGTAAAATAATTAATAAACACACACACACACACACTCACACATATATATTTCTATTAATGTATAGATAAAACAATATACAAATTGATTTTATACTGAATTTATGCCCTATCACATTTCGGCTTATTAAGGATTTAATGGATTTTGAGGGTTCTAGGTTGGATTTACTAACGGGATTTAGAAACCCTGCTTTAATCTAAAATTAAAGTTTTAAAATTCAAACCCATCAATTATTTAGAACACCCTATTTCATAATTTAGTATCTTTTAATAAGATATATTGCAAGCATAAATAAATATTCCCTTTTGCATATGGAATTTAAATATTTTCTTGCGGAACCTTTAGGTAAATGTATTTTCTTTGGGTAAGCTTAGAGTGCCCTACATTTAGGCACAAAGCCAAGTTCTTATTCGCATGGTACAGTTTTATATAATTTAAATATATCATACTGTTCTATAGCTTCCCGTAGAGTATCGTGAATATTTCTTCTTGATATTTTATGCAATTTTCCTTCCTCGGGCATATCGAAGTTTATCCGGAACCCGTATCCATATGAGAATATTCCTGTTTCGGGAAGTACGGCGTCCTTCAAATTGAATCTAAACTAACAGAAAAAAATTTATTTTAACTTACTATTGAAAAATGTGCTAAGATTTTAATGTATACTTACAAAAAATTTAGAAGCTTTTCGAAAAGTCAAATGACGGCGGTAGCGTTTATTAGTTATTGTGGTCGTAGTTACATCATTACAAGACTCATTAAAACACAACACATCATTAAAAATGATCAAAAAAATTACAGTACTCATTACATTTAAATACATTTATAACAATATTTATTATACAATATCATATGTTTCTTATGAAGTAACGATTGTTACTACTTACTTTAAAACATCAAAAATGGTACTGATTTTCTTACTAGCATGATTTTTCTATCATAAATCTATAACTGTAAATTAAAATATTCAAAAATATGAGCGTTTAATTTTATATTGATTTTCAAACCTATTACTTGTGTCACGACTTATTGACACAAATAATGACTTATAATCATCATCGAAACCTTTTCTATTCTAAATGTAACGGATTTAGCATTGCATATATTTTAATAAATATTATACAAAATTGACAGAATTCTATAAATTGTAATGCTAAATCAAACATTATTAAAAATGTAATACAAAAGGAAAAAGGAAAGAAATTACTTCCATTGACTATGGATTACAACTCTTTATATTAAACTTATAGATAGCTTTTTTTGAGTTTGTTTTTTTTATCTGAACAAACATGTCGTAAAATGTCTAAAAATTTCATAAGTAGTTTGAAACTATTGTAAACAGTCCAAAAATGTTGTAGATTCTCTAAAAATGTTATAGATTCTCTCTCTCTGTAAATTGTATAAAAATGTTGTCAGTTATATAAAAATGCGGTAAATCATGTAAAAATGTTGTCAGTTGTATAAAAATGTTATACGTTCTCTAAAATCATTGTAAATTTAAAAAAAATCTTATAATTTTTAAAAAAAAATCATAAATTATATAATAATCATATAAATTCTCTAATAAATCATATAAACTAATAAGATATATTTAATTTATTCAATCATTGATTTTACAATCTAGTCCAATAAAATTTTTGTGGCATAATTTTTATTAATTCATAATTTTAAATTCAAGTGAAAATGAAGAATTTAAAAATTGGTTTATTATCCGATATAGTTATTCGTGACTGTCACATTGCCTTACATAAACGAAAAGCGAACAGTTCATGAATTTGTTTAATAACGGTGAGACAATTAGCAACTTTGATGCAACTGTATTACGGTTGTAAACCGTATCGATGGAAAACCTTTTATTTTTATTTTATTATTCAGAAAACTTAAGTCAAAAAAATATACTAATATAACACAAGACAATTAAAAATTATCAGTAAAAGTCTGTAAAAAAATCTTGGAAAAAAGAGACCAACTGAACCTTTAACCTGACAAATATGCAAACAATGAAAATAGTGAATAAAAATGGAAATTAAGTTAGAAAGACATTCTATAAAAAATAAATTAAATAAAGTGGCCGTCCAATTTCACCCCGCTTACGGAATAAAAAGATCCAGGTGATAAATAAACCTGAGAGTTTTACTGAACGTAGTCAGATAGTTATTTGTTTGATATGTGTTACTATGTGATATACTTGGTTTGGTTTCCACAATATAATTGCTCTAATTCTTATTGGATTCATATTGGACTTTAGTACCCTGCACTACTCCATATCATTATGATCGTGTATTATATAAATGATTTGACTTCGAGTATTACCTGTACCATTTTTTCCAAACGTTTCAAACCCCTGCCTGAACATAAATTAAATTGAAACATCTCCTCTTCTGACAGATCTATCTCAAAACCAAGTAGTGAAATATGTATTGAATTTCTTGTGCTATTTTAATGAATTACAGTACAGTTATAATTTTGATGCGAAAAATTGAAAATGAATTATTGCAGAATAGTTTTAATAGTGACGTTAATTAATCTAATTACAAGTGCATACTGTGAAGGTGATGATTTTAATGACACCAGCGAAATTACTACTGAGAGGATATTGTCCCGAAGGAAGAGGCATTTGATATTCCCCGAAGGAAGTTCTATTCAAACTGGTAAATTGATCGATGCAATTTATAATATGATATATAAATATATTATAGATAGAAATATATTTTCAATTTTGTTTGTAAAAAAAAAAATTGTAGAAAAATATTGATAACTTTGATCCAAGTAAATAAGATTGACCAAAATCATTTTAATCCCTTAAACACCATTAAAAAATATACCACTTACATAGATATTAATTATGTTATTATTTTAAATATTTTTTAACATATCTGGTTTTAAATTTAATGCATTTTCTGCAATTCTAATATTAGTTGGAATACTATATATAATTTTTAGTAACTTATTGTAATTGTATTGTATGATATATGACTGGGGATAAAACAACCAATCTATTAAATAGTTGGGCTTCTTGATTTTTAAAGAGCATAATTTAGTATTTTATATTTAAATAAAATTAATTGATGTTAATATATAATTGATGCTGAAAATGCCAATAAACAAAAAAATCTATTAAATGGAAATAATACCCTTAAAAAATATGGTAAAGTCATAAATAGATATGGCAATATTTTCTAGAGAAACAAGTGATTAATTTAAAATTTGGTTCCAAAATTAGGCTTCATTTTGGGCTTTTTGATCTTCAGAGCATATCATACCTTAATATTTTATAAAATAAAAATTATGTCCCATTTATTAATGCAATAACTAATCAAAGCCAAGTGTTCACATTAAAAACTTGGTTCCAAAACCAAAGATTATTTTTACTATATTTATTGAAGCCGCTATATATTTTAATTATCTAATTAATGTTAACAATTAAGTTTCTGGATAAAGTAGAGGTAGTGATAATTGTGATATTTTTACACACAGTTTGATTACAATTGAGGATTATTTGATAAAAGTACTAATAGATCTTTAATTTTGAAAAGACGTGAAAAAACTTGACAATTCCGATAAAAAATAAGTGTAACTTATAACTTATCAACATGTTTTTTTCTTTGTTTGAAAAAAAAAATTATTCTATATTGTTATAAAAAGAGCGAGTGAATATTTTGGTTTTGCACGATTTTTATAATCATACGATTTTTTAATGATTATTTTTAATAATTTATAAAAAAAATCATAAAAAATATATTACATTAAAGTGGCAGGTAATATTCACAATTGACAATGAAACTAATACAACAAAAAAAAACGATATTTTTAAAAATGATTTTTTTACTATTACATTTACATTTTTTACTATTATAGTTACAATTATCCAGTTAAAGACGTTTAGTTTTGTGGAATTTACAATTGTCAGCCGTAAAGGGACATTGCATACTATAGTGACTTGTTGGAAAAACAACTCAATAGTTGTTGTTCCATTCGTTATAATTAACAATACTGTAATAATAATGATATAAACTTAACTATATTCTTTTGAATAATTCATTATAAATTATAACTAAGTTATTTCAAACTTTATCACGAAAATTGATGACTTAACAAAAATGATCATTACCGTTTATTTTTGATATG